AAAGGCGACAAGTTGGCAAAGTTTTTTAACCACAGCTGGAAACTGTTAACCCATTGCCAGTTGCCATTTCCCATTTTCCCAGACGGTCACCAGGCCACACTCACTGGGAGAAAAGCAGTGGGGTTATAGGGGCAGATGGGTGGCAGGGAATTGGAGACACTCACAGAAACACAATTGGCTGAGGTTGTGCAAGTTTCGCACACATAAATCTCAATTTGTAGCAACACTGAGAGTGCGAATAGTTTTCAGTTTGCTGGTTGCCGCGGGACAAGGGACTTTGGGGTGTTAAAGGGAGTTTCGACGGATGTGGAACGGTAAAGTGGGCGTTGTTAAGGGTGCACCGGCAAGGACAACTCATAAGCTCTCTTCGGCGGAGGACGACGTCTCTTTTTAATTTATGCTCACTCGAATCCCAATTGCACGCAGCCGACCGCAACATGTTGCACTGCATCAGCAAACTTTTGTTTCAACTATAGTGCACAGTAAGAAATATTCTTAATATAAATCAACTTTATATTTATTGTATACCTTAAACACAAATATATTACAATATTTCGTTAAACCATTTCGTATACCTTTTTATTTCTTTATATCTTTGTAGATATTTTTAAAAGGTTATTACTTTTTTTCCTTTTTATTATTACTTTCTTTTCAAGATCAACATATATTGTATTATTAAATTGTTCACTCGTATTGAATATTTACTCATTTTTTTAAGTGTTTTTATTTGAACGTGCACCATTAGTTTCAGTGCATCAGCAGTCCTAAAAAGGGTATGCGCACCATACTATATTGCATTTTTTCTTCTTTTGAGAGTGACATAAAATCCAAGCTCTGACCCGATACCTTTGCACACACTCATTTCGCACAACAAAGGATATGGAGGTGGAAAAACGGTGCAGGAAAAAGGGCTGACTTTAATGCAAATTGCCAGAGGCTCAATGCTGCCATCCAGCCCTACATGCTGCACCACCCACACATGTTGCACCACCCAAAGAGCAGCCTCCTCATCAGCAGCACCATCATCATCATCATCATCAGCGAGGTGGAGAACAGAAATTCTCATTACAAGCACAGTTTAATCTGTAGCCTGGGGGTTAGTTGTTTGGTGGGGATGGTTCCAGGGGGTGTTGAGTGGGTGGTGGGGTTGGGCGATGTGTTGCTAAAGTTTTTGTAGGGAGCTAGTCGAAACGAGTCAAATGTGTTAAGCCGGCTATGAGTGACCCAACTCCAGTATTTCATTCTTTTGCTGCCCCAACTGCAGTTCACAGCCTTTTTCGCACAGCCCTCCACCCACTTTTCCTATATGTTTTAGACCCTAAGCCACCTCTTTTCCCACTTTTTTCAACCCTTCCGCACTATTTTTTTTTTGTTTTTTCCTTGATGTGTTTATGTAAAAGCAGAAACATAACTCAACACAAAAAAAGAACTGGGCAACGAGGAGAACGAATATAAATTCATTGTTTCGCACAATATGAACATGGCTCTCCTACAAACAACTCTAAACTGTTCTCTATCCCTCTCCGCCCTATTTGAAGAACCCTCCACGGCCCCCCTTTTTAGCACTAGCCATGGTAGTAAAGGCAACATAACTGAAACGTAACTCAATTGTAATGCAGGGTCTTACTTGCTCATCCACACCCACCAACAATTTTCCACCTTCGCCCCTGGATGCTTAATTTACATGTTTTTGGGTAACTTCATATAGAAAAGCTCCCTTGGCTCTTTGGCTTTACATGTTTTCCATAACGCCCACACCTTTCGACCCCCTAATTTTCCACATTTGGACTTCTAGGCGCTTCGAATTTCATTAAATTGTGTGGCTCTGTTTTTTTCCATCTTTCTGGGTTATAAAAATGTCATGGAAATGACTGGCAATAATAATATAATGAGTTTCACTTGCAATTTGACAGCGTGAGAGATTTTATTAAATTATGAGTTCAAATTCAGATACATTCTCGTAGAATAGAATATAAAATAGTTAACATTTTTCTAATATTGTTTTCTTTTTCAATTAAATCCATCGATGATTAAAGCCCAAAAATCACCCAAAAATTGCTTTTCAAGCTGTGCCACAAATTGGAGAACTCAACAGAGTAAAATGCATGGAAAACAAAAATTGAAAGCAAGCCTCAAAAATGGTCTAAGTATGCGATGCTGGCTCCTGTGGGCCATTTTTGTTGTTCAGGCAGGCAGCACACATATGGAAAATAGAGTTGCCAATGCGTTAGAGGAAAAACTGAGAAGCAACGGAAAAATGGGCAAAGTGAAGTGAAGTTGAAGGCGGAGGTGTTTTTGGAGCAGCAGCATGAGCAGGAAAACCAAGCAAAACCAAGGAGATGCCACTGGCAGGCATGAGGGGACCCTGTTTGTTTTTGCCTTCTGTCTGATGCTATTCCGGCTGCTTTTCCGGGGCTTTACACGCCGCACTCAGAGCTACGGAAAAGCTACGTCCCCGCCTCCGCCTTCTTGTCGCCCTTCTGACCATTACACATTACGTATAATCATCATTTTGTGCTGGCAATAAACACATGCTGTCTGCTCTCAGCAGCTTCGGTCCCTCCCCCTGGTTATCATCCCATCCCACATTATACCCGCCCCCCTACAAAACCCACCCATGGACACGAGCACATAACAGGAATTTACAATTTCCAGTCCTCTGCACCCTGAACACACATACTTTATTGCATGCGATATTTTTATTGCATGCAAAACGAAAAACTAGCAAAAAAAATAGATTTAGTTGAAAAGGCGAACCAACAGAATAGGGGTTGCCGCCCGAATTCGAATTCGGAAATACTCTGCTAGCAAGGGAAATAGTTTTCCCTTCAGGCAAAGGCAAAACGTAATGGAATATTTGTGGGTCAAAGATCATTGGTACATCGGTAATCATAAAAATATATTTTATGACTTTAATTTTTTGAATACATATTTTTAATTCAAATAAACTAAACTAAACAAATTAAATTAGTTCATAAGGCTTCGTTGCATAAAATAGAGTATTAAAGCTGTATGCATTTTCTATGCATTCCATGGTCTACCTTTTCGAAGCCAAAATTTGGCCCAAAGCTTATTGAATGTGTGTGCTTTGATTAAATTTAAAATGTTTGATAATACTATTTGCTGCCTGGTTTTCAAGTGGCAGTTGGGCGCCGGGTGGCAAGTGTAATAATGCAGAAGTAAATATATTACGGGGCAATGAATCGAAAGATTTAACATGGGTGGGGGTGTGGAAACGCATACGGGCCACTTAAAATATTCCCCAGTTGATAGTTATTCGGAGATGCGACGTTTTGTTGTTCCACAGGTACAGTAAAAATTCTAAACGCATTCATATTTAATTTCTTAGAACAAGCTCCTAAAAAAACGGTTTATTCATGTTGTCCGTTTAGGACTTCTTAATACAAAATTAGTATAATTTTGATACAGCATTCTATGTGATACGATTGGTATCATAAATCCATTAAAAATTTCCGTTCTTGCCCGTCTGTTTACTGTTTTCGCCGTAAATCGCACTTCGTTTACATCATTCAATTCAATGTGGGTTTTGGGTCAGAGCCCGGTTTTGGTCTATTTTGGAGATCTGGGACAATGGCAAACACAGCGGGCAGCCTTCAATATTTGCCGCAGAGACCGGGAATCTAGGAATCAGCAACCAGAACGAGGAGCCACTGTGCCAAAGATTCGCTCTCGGTCGGAATTTGTATGTGTGCCATTCGACAACACGACAGGCAAACAAAAGCTGGGGAAATCCAGGAGGCGACTGGAAAAGGGGGTAGATTATCAAACGACAAATAGACAGAAATCCGGCAGTTGCAGCAGCATCGGCGACAGCCTGAAAGCAAACTTGGCCAAATCAACAACAACAGCAGCAGCAGCTACAGCGACACAGAACAGCAGTAACAACAACAATAGCGAACACTACAACTGCAATACACAAGACCCAAACAAATTCAAATCAAACTAAACAACAATAACAGCGATGGCGAAGAATATTCATGGTTAGAACTTTGAGATACCCGTTGCTGGAATGACCCATTTTGTATTCTATATTTGTTGTATTTATTGATTTATTTGTGTTTGTTTACAGCACTTATTTCTCTTTGCTCATTTTATTTATATTTATTTATTTACCTAATTTTCAGTAATTGGGTTAGAACAAAATATCAAGTGGCAGAGGGAGGATTTTGGAAGTCTAGTGGCACCCACAGGTTCTATGTTTCAGTTCTGTTTAGGCAATTAGTTTTGAGATTTCATAGTACATTAGATTAACTTAGCTTTTATCGCTTAACAACCTTTCTTTAAGGTAACAAAATTTCCTTTTAAATATAAATAAATATATTTTTCTGCCAGACTCGTTACAAATTAATTAGCACTTTCTTGAGAAAAATATTCAAACGATGCTGTTTAGTAAGCAAGAGAAACGTTAGTCACCAAAAATTTTCCATCTAAAATAAATGAGTCATCAAAACATAATAAGGAAGAGCTCATAAATCAATGCCATTCGTGAATATAATTTTTTACAATATACAAAAAAAAAATAAAGAATTTAATACATTTTTTCCAGTGTAATGGAATATTTTGTTAGCCGATATACCCCTCTAATTTATGAGTACCCCGCATATGAAGTCGCTGCAGAGCGTAAACTAGAACAAGCAATGGGCAACATACACGCCAGCAACACCAAGTCGCCGCTAGCAACATGCAATGCTGCTAGCTCATCGCGCATGTAGTAGCAGAATCCGAACAGCGACAGCAGCAACATGCAGCAGCAACATTTGAGAGCAGCAGCAACTAACAGCATTATGACGAACGGCAGCAACATACAGCGGCAACATGCAACACCCAGGCAGCGCAGTCGACGGCGACTGCATATGTAAAAACGCATACGCCGGGTGTTCGCATGAGTTCGCTGCCACTGACGCTGCCGCAACAGCTGCCGGCGTCGCCGTCGCTGCGCTGCCCATGTTCCACGGGCGGTTGGCAACTTTATAAACACAGAGCGGATTCAGTCGTTTGGTAACTGTTGCTCATATCAGTCGCTCTCTGTCGCTCTTGGTTTGCGTGGGCATATCGGTCGTTCGGCTTGTTTGGGTTCGGCATTTCGGGATTTGATTTCGTGATTCGGTTCGGATTCGTATAAACCTGCGTCCGTTTAAGTTAGCCGGCCATTGAGCACTATCACTGCCAAAGGCATTTGGCCCAACAACGCGCCCGTGTGTGTTTATTACTGTGGCATAATCTTCGATTAGCTCAGTCCAACCGATCGGATATACCCTTAAATTAAAATAGTAATACAACGAGTTAAAAACAAAACATACACTGCACACCCCAAAACATACAAGCACACACACACACACATCATATAAAAAATATAAACCAGAGCCTTAGCGGCTGTAAAGTGCCACCGAAAAAGTACTTGGCCGTATATTTTATGCATGAAAAGCTGTAGCAAGTGCAACCTAACGCCAGAGTGACATCAAAAAAATACATATAAGGAAGCTCCAAAAAAATAAACCCGGGATTACCACTCACACACATACGCTCTCTCAAGAAGAAAAAAATATAATAAAGGAAGCCAAAGGAAGTCAGCAGCCAAATCATGTCACGGATCGTTTTTATATGTCTCGCAGCCATCTTAACAGGTAAGAATAAACAACTGGCTGGAGAAAAAGTCAAGCCAAAGACCCGCTCATGAGATGATATCACGCGCCCGTTTAAGACCCGCGCAAATGTGTGAAAAAGTTTAGCTTACTCTCTGATACAAAGACATATAGTAAATACATATATATATATTTATAAATATGAAAAGATGCCCCTAAAACGTGTTCTCACCTCAAGCTGAATGATAATATAATAGTTGAGCGGTAAACTTGATTGATGAGAGACACGACAATGCGCCGCGGGGCGGTGGAAAGTGTTGGCCATATGAAAGTGATGATTGAGTGAAAAGTTTCCCGTCATAATATCCATGAAATTGATAGTTATTCCTCTTATTTTGGCGGTTGACCCCGTTTGCCACATAATTCCGTCTGCGCATGCTCAGAGTGTGACCGAAGCTGTATTCAATCTGTGTTCGCGTTAAGTGTGACCTTTCTCGCTTTGGGTACAACTGCCATTTGCCATGCGCGAACAACGGTCGAAAAGGTCAACCACTCTTTGGTAACTGGAATTGGGCTTGTCCCTATGATCTTGGCCAGCAGCTGATTCATCAACTACTTTTTTTCGTAGCTGTTTTTTAATGGATTTTTATTGGCATCTGTGTTTATATGCGAGAGGGTTAGGAAGCTTAGTGTGCCTATAAAAAGTTTGATTGATTTTATGATGGTATTAGGATGTTTATTACTCTTTTTTCGTTCGAATCAAATAAAAACATTTAATGATTTTTTTTAATTATTGTTTTTTTTGTTATATTTCTTAATTATTTAAGTATTTTTGGAAAGTTTGAACATATTGGAATATACATGGTAATTCTCTTGACTGTAATTAGTCTTTAGTCAGCCCTTATTTTGTAGTATATTTTGAACAACAACCCTACTTGTGTTAGCATGCATCCTTGAAATTAAGAGACAACATCAGTATCCACTTGAGCCTTACTTTCATCTCTTTGTGCCACGTACGAATGAGGAAATAAATTCTATGCTATCATCCAGGCCCAAAAAACGCTGTCGGTTCTATTTAATTAAAATACTTCAATGTTTCAGCCCGTGCTTATTATTTTGTACCCTCTTATTACGTCCGTGAAGAGGGAGAACGATATATGTAAGAGCTAGCTGGGAAACTGAGACAGATTTCTCATTAGCTGAAAAGAAGATGCTGGTTTATGCTAAAGCCTAACAACATTAACACAACACACCGTACATGAAGCTGTTGCTTTTGCAGCTGTCTCATTACTGCCACAACCCCTCGGCACTTTCAGCAGTCCCTCCTCTGCTGGAACCTCTAAATTGAGAACCCTCCCCCTTGGAACCCACCCACATGACGTGACTTTAAGACAGCAGCATTTTATTCAGTCGCTAAGCCTGCGCCAGGCTGCAACCTTTCAAAGGTTTACGAAAATGTAAATGCAAAAAACTGCACACAAAAAACCAAAAAATAAAGCACGGAATCCACTGCAGGTTCAGCTCTTTCTTCCTATCTCTCTCTGTCGGCCAGTTGCCGTCTTTTTCTAGCAGGGCTTTGGCACTTCACACTGAATACTTTTACATTTTTATAGGACTGACGCATCGCAGACATCGCATCAGTTGACTGTCGGCTGGCTGTTGTCTTGCAATTATAAATGTTTAATGTAGCTCCGGCCATGGGACCCTGGACCCTTTTTTCAGATGGGAACGGGCCGGAAATTCAGCTAGCCGATCCAAGGGATACGCTTAAAAAATGTACAGAAAATTTTGGGGATAAAACCGAATTCACAGTTGGGAGTTCGATGTAGGAAATCTTTAACCATAGAATGTACTTACTGGGAAGTAATATTTTTATAAGCCCAATATTTTTATATTTTATAATATACATTTAAATTATTACAGAAAGAGAGTTTTTCGCTTGCCAAACATTTTATAAAATTTAAAAATCGTGACCGTATAAAAAATAACTATCGCCCTTTTTTAGTACAAATAAACTTTATGTGGGGCACTCCACTTTCACCACTATTTATATGAGCAGAACCCACATAAAAATCAACCACAATTTCCTTTGCAAACTTCCCATTCAATTTCATGGATACTCTTTGTGCAGAGGACTATAAAAAAGGAGACGAAGGAGATACGAACTGCAACATGTGCAGCATGTAAATAAGGCATTGCATCCAAAACCCATTCACAGTAATTCAAATGGCCAAAAGGAACTCTAGTCGTGACGTATTTAGTTATGACTGCCTCATCTAGGGGCGAACAAAAAGCGGTTCAGCATTTATGCATTTTAATGGCCACCAATTGAGGCATGTTCTATGCTATATTTGTATATGTACGTATATGCCAGCTGGTAACAAAAAATCCGGGCATTGAATTAAATACGTGCAGTATTTGCCCGGTTTGCCGGTTCTAAATGTGACTCGACCAGTGACTGTTACTGCAAAACTGTGACTGCATCTATATCAAAATTTCCTTTTTTTGGGAATCCAATCCAACCCATCCCACCCATGACATACATAATTTTCAACTCTTTTTCTACCTATGGTAATTGCAATGGGAATCGCAGAGAAGGGCAAGCTCCTCCGTCTCTCATTCATATTCATAACATCGTTTCATTTTGGCTTTTTGCTTTGCTACCTGGTCAACAAAAAAGCGTCCGAGCGACCAACTGAAAATTTTGCAGTAACTGAAACGTTCCGAAAGAGAACTGGCCAAAGGACACAAAAGCTTTATCGCACTGGGGGCTTTAGTTTTCCGAAAGGTATTCCCTTAATGAAAAGCGGGAGTTTTCTTCCATTTTGTGTGAGTGAGGAAGGAAAAGGCGGTGAATTGCTAACGGGCTTCTCTCAAATGCTTTTCTTCCGCATTTTAATTGTTTGCTTGGATTGTAAGTCTCTAATCAATCTTTGATTTATGGATGAGAACTTACATACAAAATGTATTCGTTTTTGTAATTTAGGGAGTAATTTTGTTCTATTGTTTCGTCGACAGATTCAATTTCAAGTTTGCTTCCGCTATCAATTTATTTATAATTTTCAAGCGGTTTAAATACATTCCAATGATCTGGGTGAGGTACCAATATCTTAAAATATATTGGTACAATTTTCACAGAAGAAATACATATAATTTGAAAACCCGCTTTAATTAAAACTTCAATGTTTATTAAGCCTTAGTTTAACAGTCAATTTTCTGGCCAAAAATGTCAACATTTTTCCCATTCCAAATGAATTGATTTGTTAGCCAAATTCGTTGTATCACTTTTCAGTTCGATTTTCGCCATTTTCCATATCAACACTTATATATTGCCAAATAATCGCTGGCGGGCAATTTTTATTAACGAAATTTCCAATTTAGGGTGAGAGACAAATAGAAATGCACAATTTCATGACTAATTTGCTGAAAAATGACTGAACAATGTCAACAACAACTCTTTGAATGCATCCTTTTGTATATGTATATGTGTAAATGCTTATCTGCATGTTTGTCTGTCTGTATGTAAAAGTGTGTGCATGCCCAGGAAGTTGGCAACGCTTTGGGCCATGTTGGAATTTTCGGGCCAAAAAGAGATGGAAGAAGTGCGATATTGACTAAGCGTATGCCAGGCAAATTAAATATAATGGGGATCTACCCTATTTATTCTGCTCCTCTGCCGCACGACAAAACAGTTGAAAAGACAATAAAGAAGGGAAAACCGGCAGAAAGTTGCACAGCTCATGGAAAAGTTTCCCGTTTTCCTCGAAACTGTTTTTCGGGCTGCTACTGCAAACAAGTGTGCGAGTCTCGAGCACAATGAAGCGAACTTTTGATCGATTCGGCGGCACGGTATTGTCTTTATGAGCACGTACCAAAAGCGTGAAAACGTGGCCAAAATAAGCCAAGACGTACAATTTTAAAGGGCTAGAAGGGAAGACAAAATATAAAGGTTTTTTCAAGGTACTTACTGATCAAAGAGATAAATTTATAAGGGTAGGATTTCAAAAAAAAGGTTTTAAAAAAATATTCTTAATTCGAAAAAAGTATATACAAACATAAAAATTACTTAAATTTGTGTAAGTAAATATTTTATTCTCAGTTCTTAGATAAGGCAAACTGCATTATCCTATAACGACTCATTGACTTTTGGGATTTTTTGTGGGTGACTTATAAGCTTAGTTTCACATCATATATATAGGTGCCCTAAATTCTCGAATTTGTGGTTATCAGCACGTCCCATTGTACTTCCTATTTATAAGTGACTCCCCTGTTTAAGAAAACCACAGCTTACACAATCCATTTTTAATGTCATAGCTATTTATGCGCAAGTGTACGGCTGCGATGATAATTGCAATTATTGTTTTTCTTTATTTAGAAGAGAATATTATTTATTCTGCGGCTGTGGTGATTCATAAGCTGGGCAGGTTACTCATTCAGCTGGTATACAAAAACAGTAATCGACTAATTTCACATGTATAGAGAACCGCTTGATTGACTTCATTTTCGATATCCCCGCTCTCTCTGTTTCTATATCTCTCGATGTTAGTCAGTCTCGGAGAATTGTGTCAGGTTTGTTTGGCTATTACACTGTTTCATTGCTTCTTTTTATTTGTGCTCAATGCAGTTGGCTTTGATTTGGGTCATGATTCGGGCTATTGATAAGATGTACACTGAGAAATTAGATATTATTATTTTTAAATGAAATAATTTTTGATAAATATAAAATATTAAAATATGTATCAACTTAAATATAAATATTATATATAGTTAGCAAGTTCTTAAGAATTAAAGTACAAAGTAAGTATTAAGTACAAAAAAATTGAAAACATTTTTCGTTCAGTTAAATGTAATAACACAAAATGAAGAATACAGTTTTTTAGTGTATATCACCTGCAATAGACCAACCTGCAATTTGAGTTGCATGATATACATCCAGAAGTTGCTCTGTATTCTGGTTCTGTTTTTGTTTGGGTCGCATGGGGAAAATGTGGACGATTAGATAAGGTTTATGTGGGTTGTACGAGTAAGTGTGTTTGCGGTGG